TGGGGGTCTGTTGGCCCTGACAGTGGCTTGTCCTCTGGCTGTGGGGGCGAGGAGACGCTGTCAAAAGGCTACAAAGTTACAGATAGCTACATTGCAAACTAAACTATATGTGGATGTAGTTTAGCTTGCAATGTAACAAACTCACTTAATTTGTAAAAACAAAAACAAACAAACAAAAAAGGAAAAACCCATATGTGTCTAGTGTGATGCAATTCAAGTGCAAAAATGGGCAATTTTCATCATGTATACAAGCACCGTTGGTGCTTAGTCCATTGGAAGGGAAACAGAAGCAAACTTAAGAGAAATATAGACTCCCAGGAGAAACAATCTGTAACATGGAAAAGGAGGATGGAGAAAGGTGGATAGAAATGAGCAGAAAGATAACATTCAAATGTATTGAAAATGCACTGAAAAAATCCTTTGTCCTTAGAAAAGAGGGAAAAGAGAACTACAGTAAGACAATTTCTAAAAATTAAATTAATTCAATCACTTTCCCAAAGTAACTTGTTCAAATAAAATATTTCTACGCCCACTGTAACAACTGTGAGCATTGGTGATGCTTGGAGGGGGAGGGGGGTGCATGCAGATGCACGTGCACCCCCTGAGATTGGCTGTGCACTCCCTGAGAGAAGCACCGGCAGCACTTCTGGGTTGCCGCTGGTGCTGCTACCGGTGGTGGTGATTTACCTGAAATCCGACTTGTGCTTTGAGTCTGTCTTATAAGTAGAGAATGGCAGCACCAGGTAGTTTTCCTGGCTGTTCTAGCACTGGTCCTGCCTGAACTGCTTGGTCTTGCCCCAGCTCTTTGGTCCAGCCGCTTGGCCAAGTCCCATGATTCGGTGAGTTTCCACCAGTTGGGTTGGCCAGGACACAACAAAGCTAGCTGCACTTTGCTTTGGCTCAGCAGAACTGGTCTGGCTTGAGAGTCCTTCCTCAGGCTGCCTTACCTTCAGCTGAGAAACAAAGAGCAAGAAAGGATCCTTGTACAATGCTGCTCTTATGAGAATAGAATCCTTTTCCTATAAAATGATCTTTTGGGTAAGATGTTTTGCAGATTAACAATTTAAAGGTTATATTAGATCTATGTTCCACTCTCTTTTTTTTTTTTTCTCCTCCTACAAGGTCCTTTAGGAAAGCAAATATCTATGGACAAACTAGGCACAGGAACATAACCTTTAATCCTTCTTCTTCTGTTCTGTTTTCTCTATTCTACACTTTCCCTGCTTGCTAATGGCCTCTTTGCAAAGTGCAATCTACTCTTTCTTTTTAAACAGGCTGTTTTTTTTTCTATTGTCTTCTTCAAAGACTTGCTATACAGGCAGTCCTTGGACTTAAAACACAATTGGTTCCTGAAAGCCGTGTCTTAAGTCAAAACGTTGTAACTCGGAACCAATTTTCCCATAGGAAACAATGTTATAAATGGGGGATTGGTTCCTGAACCAAGGCCTGATACCCTACCAAAAATAACCCAGAATTTGGTACTCAATTTATAGATGAGTAATATAGCTACATTAATGTATTTCTATTGTAAATAGCAATCACATTGATTTGGAAGGACTTCTTTGAAGTGACTTTGCTGGACTTTTTTAAGGGTTCTTGGCTGGAGTCTTCTCAGGAGTCTTGGTTGCAGGTTTTTCTGGAGTCTCATCTGCTTTCTTAAAGAAAATGTCCAAGGAAGTTTGGACAGATGTTCTCCAGGGAGATGGGCGACGCAGCAAGCTTGTTTGCTGGCATGGTGTCAGGTCAGATCAAGCGTTGTTGTGCGGGCCGGGAGCGACCCGAGCCCTTTTCCGCACTGCACGCGGGCTGTGGCCAGCAGCCCGGGCACGCCGGGTTGGAGAGGGAAGGCCTTCGAGCTGGAATTAGGCACAGACGCTTATCAGTAGTTTTAAAGATTGTTTACTTACACCGAGATGGCAGTGGTGTAGGCTGGAAAACTTGCTTAAGTTGCGGTTACAGACAGACAAGAAAACAAAACTTGAACCTGCAGGGCACGAGGGTACGTCGCAAAGGGTTCCGGCGACGGGAAGATAAACCTGCAGGACTCAAACCCGGGTAGAAGAGCTCTGAGATCGGTCAATCCACACGAAGTTTGCTAGGCTCCGTGGGTCCGGTTCTCTTGCGCACGGGAAGGGATACGTCTGGAATCTATCGGCGATGGGGAGAGGCTAGAGGCTGATCAGACCTCTGTTGCCTGCTTGAAATGCACTGGGTCCTTAAGGATCCGCAGCGCTTAGAGATCTTCACACAGCGTGAAGTCTCCTCCTCCCTTGTTCGTGGAGTCCTCCAACTTGGGCGGAAACCACTCAAGCCTCTTATACGGCTAGCAAGCCAATCACTAGCCGCCACGTGTGAATAATTTAGAACTGGCCAATAATGGGACTCGAATTAGCATACAAATGGTGGGAACTCTTTGCAACGAGCATTCCTGTGCTGCAACAAAGAAATGCACCATGCAAAGAAAGCTTCAAATTGGCGGGAAATTCTCCCTTGCACCGGGGTTCTCTTTTGCAGCAGAAAACTCCACCGTGCAAGGAAGCTGCAATTTAGCGGGAACAATTTAGCAGTGCCGAAGCACACAAAACAAAAATCACACCCTTTGGGTTGTGACAGTTGTAAAGTCAAAACTGACATCAGGAAGTTGAAACAGTGTAAATTTACAAAGATTGTAAGTGTGAAATGTAACTTGAAATGTTGTAAGTTGCAAACTGTCTGTATTTTCTTTCTTAAGGTTATCATCATCTCTAAGTTCAATTATTGTCTTTGTGAAATAATACTTATGTCTATGTGTGGATTAGTGAATTAACTCTTCATTTTAACAAGGAGGTGATTTTTTTTTTTTTTTTTTTTTTTTTTTTTTTAAATAAAGTGGAATTAATAGATGCTGGACAGAGGTGGGGGAAATCAAAATCGCTTTGGACTTATTCCACTGGCTTCACATCCCTTGAAACTCCCCAGCGGGATCCTAGCTCTTGGGTGCTATGTCACTAGCACTGACTTTCACTGAGTGAGGGCACTGTCTTGAGCCTTTCCTGAGTTAAATTTTAAAGTATGTTCCTTTATCATCTGTAATAAAGGATGTGCTCTGACTGATAGGTCTATTAGGAACAAAGTGTTGGACTTAGTGGCCTCCAACTGTTCAGGGGCTCAAGGGGGGGATGTTAAAGTGGCCCATTGATCAGGAACTTACACAAAGCTTAAAAAGCATTAAAGTTAAAGCTGGTGAAAATAATTACTGAATATGATTTCTTGTTGGCTTGAAGAAGATACCACAGAAGTTGAGTCTGAGATTGCGGATTAGATGAATAAAGAAGAGCAGGCTGTCGAATAGTATTTCTAGCTACCGGGAAAGTTTGCTCAACCTCAAGCAATTACACTGCATTTTTTTTAAAATTAGTTTAAAAGAGAAGCATGATGGTGATAACTTTAATGCTGCCAAAAGATTAGTGGCTGCTAGGAAATAGCTGCGTTTGGCTTTGGGAGTGCTTGTAGAAGAATGAAATGTAACAGGAAATGCTCCAACAAGATCGTTCAAAGAAGGCTCCAGAACACGTTGGGTTAGTGAAGGGGGAGGAGCTCTCGACTGAAACAAGCACAGGTGTCAGGCAGTAAGAATCAAATGGGAAAGATGGATGAATACTAGTTCGTAGGAGGGTCCTTTTAGTGTGACCAGTAGAGCAGCAGTAGAGTTTATGGCCCATTTCTCAATTTTAGGGTCTGGTGGTGGCCTGCTGTACTCCTAAAATACACTCTCTGAGTAGGGACGTTGTTTTCTTTTATGCTGGTGTAGCATGTATCGTATTGTAATGTGATAAAGAAAAGAAAAAAAAGGTGACCAAACGCCAAGCATGAGAGCAAGTTGTGCTCGTGGCGTGGGGGAAGTAGTGGGCGCGGCCTGATAGCCGCGATATCGGCGGTCCCGGGGCTGATTGGCAGGGGGTGGGCGGATACAGCCTGTTTAAAAGGAAAAGCGCACGCACCAAAAAGCTGGGACCCACGCCATATCGGAGAGGCCTGATCACCCTCACTGGAGGTCCTGCGTCCACGAAATCCCTTCCCCCCCGGGACGCCCCCACCACGACCGAGTATATCATTCAACCGTGTTTAGAGCTCTCGAGTTAGCAGCGAGTTTATTCTTGAAACTGCTGTAAAGGAAACCACCTATACGAAAGTGTGAGTAAAGCATTTATTTGTTACACCGCCTCCTTGGTGTTTTCTGTCGACGAGGGAGAGACAGGAGGAGAAGGAACAAGGTCCCGTAACCCTTTTGTCCCCGGCCTGTTCGCGTAATACTTTTCTGGGTCCAACCACCCACCGTCAGGTTGGTCATGTAAGAGATGCAAGGAATAAGTAATAAAAGGAAACATACTGACCTGTGTGTGAAGAGTGGGAGACATTTGCTATAAACCTTTTCCGCCTCTACCTCCTGTTAACAGGATAGGGCACATGCGTGGTGGGAACTAGCTTCTGTTTTCTAAGCTCTACAATTTTAAATAGAAAGGATTTCCTAGCATATTTTGATGGAAAATGTGGGGGGAAGGGCAGAAACATGTGGACTTTTAGTTTAGAGTGAGCAAATTAGGTTGGCAGATTCCTTCCTCCCCTAAGTTTGCAGTTTTGATTTGACTGAGAAAGGGTTAAGTAAAGTAGTTTTTGACCCTGAGACAAGTGACTAACTCTATTTCCTGGTTTGAAGGATGGTAGGAGTGGCTTTTTAGCTTGAAAAGAGCTTGGCTGAACAGTTTAATAGGATTTCTGTAAGCTGCCAAGTCTGAGGAGGCGATTTCGGCTGAGTTTTGTTTTTAGTTTTTCTTTCAGTAAAGGAAACAAGGAAAAAGGTAAGGGATTGAATCTGGAGAGCACGTGGACTTTGTGTTGGTAAGGGTTGAGAAGAACATTTGCTGGCAGCAAGGAACTAATCTGAGCTGTCCCCTGAGAGATTGTCTTTAATGCTTCTGCTTTTCCCTGTGTGTCTTGTATAAGAAGTATGCTGTCAGAAGGGGTTCTTTGTGTGTGCAGTTATAAATGGGGTGGGGTGGGAGGATGTCTTTGACTACAAATAGAAAGGCTTTTGCTAAAAAAAGAGGCAACTAACCAAATGTCCCCCAAAATGAGACCGTTTCTTGGTAAGTCTTTGAGGGGGAGGAAGCATTTCTAACTTGTTTTTTACTTAAGTTAGCAGGTGAAGAAACTCTGACCCATTTTCACTTTCGCTTTTGAAATGCATCATTCCCACTTGAATGTCTTTTTCAAAGCCCATTGAAGTTAACATATATTGTGTGAGTTCCCTGTAATGGGATTTGTAAAGAAAATGAATTGTGATCATTATTTTAAGAGTAGGCCTTGCAGCTCTTACTGCAGGTTAAGGAGAAAAGACAACATTGGAGAAAGAAAGGACTTTGTCAAAGGAAGTGAAAGCCCAGAGTCCTCACCAGTCACTTTTAGTTATGCCTCTTAGTTCCTGGATTTTTTCAGACTGGACCTTTGTCTTCTCAGATCTTTTGTATTCAAACACAGAATGGGAACTGCACCCTTCTTTCCCCTGCCCTCCTTTTGAATATGAAAGATGGGGATGTCAAAGCCACCTAGGGTATTTGAATGTTCTGTTCCTTCCTGGTGAGTTTGGATACTCCGTTCCTTAGGTGCATTTGAAAGTCTGAGCCAGAGACTATGAATTTGTATTCTAAGCAGGTGGGTAAAAGCAATCGGGACTCATAGTAGAGATATCATCTTTTATTAGACCAACAATATTTTTGCAAAAAAAGTTCTTTAATTGCAAACTTTCAGGCACAAACTCCCTTCATCAGGCATTGGAGAAAAGATTGTAGAAGTTCTCCTGGTTAGAAATGAAAGTTCATATTTCATAGGATTTCACAGAGTAGTCAATAGATGGAAAACTCCTCTGCAGTCTGTTCAAGCAGATGGGTATGCCTTGAATGTGTAGGTGCATTAATTATAAGAAAATACAACACAAGGGATAGTGAAATGCCAAGGTTTTTGTACCAGAAATTGGAGTGGTAAAGTTAAAAGGGCTAGGGAAACTTTCTTCAAATACTATGATGAGCTGTCATCTTTGGTGACTGGCTAGACACTGCTCAATTGCTGGATGTGGTGGATAGAACTGGAAGATGTGGGCTTTATTTCCAGTTCTGTTACTGGCCTGCTGAATGACTGTAAGTCACTTCCATGCCTTGGGCTTTTTTCCCTATTTATAAAAGGAGGGGAATGGCATGCACCTCCCCTGCAAAGTGTTCTGATATCTACAGATGAAAAGCACTGTGTAAGAACTGAGTGTCATTGCCTTCTGGTAGCCAAGGTATCTGAGCCCAAGTCAAAACCATGGAGCCAAAAATACTTGAACTTGGTAGAAGTCTGGTTTAGATCCAAACTACAACATTTACTTTCATGTAATAGGTATAGCTCAATAGTCCTGACTTGCTTTCTCCCCAAATATATGTTAGAGAAAACTAGATTGGGACCCAAATTGTGGAACCTGGGGTGCATCTCTGTTAACACCACACCAAACCTATCAATGCAATAGCAACACTTGTCCAGTCCTGAGCCAATCTTATACTTCTGTGTCACTTAGCAGGTGCTTCCTCCTCTGACCAGGTGAGAAAAAAAGACAGAACTATACTCAAAATGGTCAAATATGAGCATCTCTGGACTTGAATCCACAAACTATATCATGGGGTGGATTTTGATTTTTGGCTACTCTCTCTCTCTTTTTTTTTTTTTTTTTATCAGCTAGATAGGCCAGAGTTCCAGCCTACAAAGGGCTGCTTGGGGCCCCTCATGCTCTACACATCCGCCCCCTGCCCCATGCACTGGGGGGCTGGGCGCAGAGGATGGGGGTAGCGGGTCGGGAGTTCAGGGCACTGGGTCAAGACTGGCCATTTGATGTTAACATATGGATCCTGGTATAAAAAAAGGTTGCGCTGCATGTGAAGGATGATGATGGGATGTGCATACGGAACTGGGTGGTGGTAGTGCAGGACTCTTCAAGCATGATCCTGGTGCATGGACTGGCCCCATGCCTCTTATCTGGCCTGCAGGGCCAAAAGGTTGAGCACCATTGCCCTACAACATACCTCATTTCCCATCTCATCCCAGCCTGTTGATTCTATTCCAAGTTGCCTGCTCAGGCTAGAAATGAAGTGATGAAGCTACACTTGGGGCACCCCTTGCTCATGCTCTGGAAATCAATTTTTAACATGATTAACAGTAGCAAATGGGGGCATTTTTTAGATAGATTCACCATTTCAGTTCTGGTTTTGCTGCCAGGGAATGGGGACTCAGTGGGCAGGGCCTGCTTAAGAGCATCCCTCCTTGTCTCTGTTGCTCAGCAGATGAGATTCCAGTTGAACTGTTCTTGTTAAATCTGGATATTTTTCTTTCTCTCATCCTAGAGTTCAGGAGAACACCAGTAGTTGATCTGCTCTTCCATTCTGCATTGACATCATTCTGTGCCTTTTGTCGTGAGCCTTTACTTTATTGTCCAAATGGAGTATGCCTGGTACTGGCAGGATGAACATGGAGAGTGGATTGAATATGGGCAACCGGTGAGCCTCTTCTGCCGATGTCAAACCATCTGAGCCGGTCTTTCTAGAGGGTTGTCTCTGTTTTTTTTTCCAAACAGTGCATTTTAGAAGTTGCCCAGAGGTCTTTTAGTGCTTCCTAGATATATAAGTACACTTCTGCATTTTTAACTAGCCTTCACAGCTTTGCTATCCAGCTTCCAGCATGACTGAAAATTTCCAGTTGCAGCTGGTTACTTAATTAAACAAAAAAACCCTTTTTAACAGAAAGTAAGTGCCCACTTCCCATAAAAATTTTGAATATGCTGAAAAATAATTTTACTCACAATGACATTACTATAGGTCATAGGGGTTATGGCAGGGGTGGGCAAAATATGACCCATGGGCCAGATCTGGCTTGCCAACTGATTATATCCAGCCTGCAGGTGGGTGGTTGTAAACTCATGGGATCCAGTCCACAAGCAGCCGGTGGCTCTGGCTGCTGCATGGTGCTGGGTGGGCAGGGCTGTTTGTCATGCCAGGCAGGCAGGTGGGACTGCTTCTGACCAATGCTGACATGGAGGTGTCAACTGTGGATCCAGATGGATGCCCCAATCCCCACCCAGAACATGCAGGCTGCATTCACAGATGATGCCAGCACCTGCCTAGGGCTGCTTCCAGCATACTGGGTGGGTGCTGGTGTAAGTTTTATAGATGTGTCTAGCAGGTACTGGGTTGGGGTGGGGATCAGGGTGTGCTACAGCTCTAGGCAGAGTGGGGATCGAGGTGTGTTGCAGATCTGGGTGGAGGGTGCTTCAATTTGGGGCATGCTACAGTTCCAGGTGGCGTGGGGATTGGGAAGAGAGGGTGAGAGAGGTGTGGCCTTTGAGAGGGCAACTTCTAAAATTCATTAAGTGGCCCACTAGCCAAAATAATTGCCCACCCCTGGCTTAAGGATTTTTGGTGAGTTGTTGCAGGGGGGACAGGGTGCTGACCTGGTGTAGCAAGGGTTGCTGACCTGGCCCACAGCAGCTCACCAAATCTCCCCAAGCGGCTTTTCAGCCTAAATAATTGCCCACCCCGGGTTATGGCATTTGTGCTTTATTTTCTATTTTTCTTTTGTGGGTTGTGCTGTTTGTGGACTACATCTTCCATGATACCCCACAGCCAAGGACTCCTACAATGCACTTGTTTTCTTTCCCAATGGGCTGTGTTACAAACCCTAGGTTTCCTTTGTATAGAACACTTGTATTTCTTAACGATGAGTTCTTGGAGCAGGGTATGGTACACCAACTTCACTGAGAGCATGCAATATGGCAGCATATTGGTTAGTATCGTAGGGTTAGGCCTATAATGAGTACAGTGAGAAATTTGCTACTTAAGAGGATGTAATGGTCAAATTAATTCCCCTAATTACTTCTCATAAACTTCACCTTTACAACACATTAACATTGGCCTTATAAATGTGACTACTCCTGTATGTATGTCATATTCATTGTAGTTTAGTGCCTTGCAAAATCTACTTTGTAATATGTTAATGGAGAAATACTATTTGCAATTAGCATAAACAGGACAAAATCTACTTCCACAAGAGATTGATACCCATGTGCTACCAGCATGTCAGCCCCTGTGACTGCTGACAGTGGTGCATTACAGGAGATACAGTTTGGGCCAGAGAGCTCAGCCCACAGAAGGTGTGGGTAAAATGAGGGACCCAGACTCCAACTCCTGTGAGGTTTGGTGACACCAATGTGAACGTAAATACTTCTGATTTTGTTTTTTTGTTTTTTTTGTTTTTGTTATTTCACTGAAGAGTCAAATCCTTTTGCTGAAAATTTGTTCCGATTCTAGCCACTTCCCTTCCCTGTTGTAAGCAGAAATGTGGTGGGGATGGTTGTGGTGTTGATGATATGTTCAGAAGGAGACCCCTCTCCCTCCTCATAGTTTTTAAAAATCCAGTGGTCCTTAACCCATTACCCTCATCTCTTTCCCCCTCTCCCCTTAGAGCTGATTTAAATCTGTCAATCCAGCATGATAGAAGTAAAGATGACCCTTTAGCTTGGAGGAAAACTTAAGGCTGTTCCTTAGGAATATTGGCCTTTAAAACACTATGAATTATTATTATTATTATTATTATTATTATTATTAACAATAATAATAATAAGATAATATATAAAATAAACACTATTATTGTAAAGATAATAATAAGCTTATGTCTACCTGGGTATACCCTGCCTGTTGGTCTTGCCTGTGTGAATCTGTTTTATTCATTTTATTTTAAACCTCTTTTGTGCACTTTACACTTTTCAGGTTCATAAAACCGGACTGAAAATATTTCTTTAGCTCTATGTAGTGGTTGGAGGGACATGTTAGACTGATGTCATGCAACTGTCCACTTAACGGCTATTTTAAAGTTCAAATCTTAGTCTGTCACGAGTGGACACCTCTATGGAAATAACTTTCCCATTTCTTTTGTTCTATAGAAATCGAATCATAGCGCTGCCACAATAACTTCTGAGGAACTCGAAGAGGCCTTCCTAAATAATCAGAAAAAAATGGTATTATTTAAAGCCGGTTCTCAGTATTACGAATTAAACTTTCAAGGTAAGGTTTGTTTAAGTTCTAATATACTACAATGTAATAGGCTTTTTAACATAGTTTCGTTCATGCTAACTCAAGCACTCATAAAGCACTTTTGGAGAAGTGGAGTAATGAGTGAGTATTTTTAATGTGGCCCCCTCCTTACAGCACCAATGGGACAGTAAAAGTCCTCAGACTTCAAGTTGCAATGGTACAAGTACAACTGGATGTTCTTGGGTGTGAGAAGAAATAAAGAATGCAGTAAGGCTAAAGCTGGTCACACAAATAGAGGTTTAACTGGAAAGGGAAGGAACTGCAAATCCAGAGAGACCTTTCTGTAGCACATCCCATTTCTTTAAATAGATCCAACTGGCTTTCCAGTGGCTTGAATCTCTCTACCTGACAGGAACAAAGGGAGTGTGGCTTCCAAGTATACGTAGCAATTGATGCCTCTCCTTCTGGTCTGATGCACTGCAATAGCCACAAAAATAAATAAATAAAGCTTTTCTTTTCCCCCCTCCCCATTAAACATAGTCACAATCCTGTACTGACAGGAGAAATGGACTAACAACCTAATGGATCTTTGTCTTGGTCTGAATAATTGCATAAGGAGAAAGCTATTTGGTAAGAGAAAGTGAGTGGGAAAGACACCGGGGATAACCAACTCAATCTCTGTTTGGATTGAACTTGAAAAAGTGTGCATAGAGGTAATGCAATTGGCAATAAAATGTCGGAAGTAGAAATGGAACAGGATAAAGAAGAGGGCTCCACACAGGAACAGCATAAACAGAAATGGCCCCAAAGTGTAACACTGGGGAAATGCATTTGGAGGGGGGAGGCCATGGTTAGAGCCTAGCATAGACATGTTCTATAACGTTTTCCCCCAGTGGTCAGTCTCCAGATGACCAAGGTACTTCTGATTTTTGCTGCATGAATATTTTTCCAGATATGTTCCAGAGAAATCTGCATTATCAAACTCAAAGAAAAGTCTGCAGGTGGCCAAAGTTTGTGTCATCTGGACATAGCAACAAAGGATGGAGAAGGTACTAAATAATGCATTCACTATTTAGAATTGCACTGTTAGTGTTGCTATATGAAGGTGCTCAGTGGGAAGTGCATGCTGTCTTATAATGGTTCATTTTGTATTTAATTTGCTGTCTAGATTAATGTTAGGTTGTGTTGTGGATGTGATGGTGATTGTTGTGAACTCTACACTACTTCCAGGACAGGGACTTAATGTGATGGAGTTTCTGGCCTTCAGATAGCTAGGGGCTTTTCTGGGGTAGTCCCCAGTGACCTTGTTCAAGAGCTTCTGTGGTAGATATCCCTGGAGTGGTCTCATTGGTTAATGTCTTGGTTTGGAGCAACACATGTTGCTGTATTACAACTCTTTACACAATGCATTTGGTAATGGAGTTCCAGAAACCTCAAAACATTTACTGAGTCAGCAGTGCAAACTATGTTCACTGAGATTAAAACAAACAAAAAAATCAATCATTTATAGAAAGGCTACTAATTTTATGCTAGATGTTAAGTCACTGCTAATGGATGGTGTTGGGAAGAAACTTTCATGATAGAATAATTCATCTGACTGTAAGCTGTCTCTGAGATAGCATTGCTCTCATCTGCCATGTCAATTTTTCTTTTTATCATGGCCATGTAGAGATGGCCTCCTGATTCTTCTGGCATTCTAGCAACTACTGTGGAGCTCTGTCTAAAAACATTGCCAACCACACATGAAGTTTAAGCAGCTTCCCTGCCTTTGCTACCTTCTCTAACCAGTATTTTTAATGCTTATTATAGAATGCCATTATAATATGCTTGATGACTGTAAACGTCTAGCTTGTCTCAACAAGGTGAAAAGTTAAGTGGCGTGAAAAGTGACTATTGGCATTCATAGCAAGCTCTTGGAGCATGACTGACATGAAAGTAGCAGAGCCTTATGAATTTTGTCTGCAAACAGGCAATCAAGGACTGCAGCTCCAGGTTGCCCGTTTCCTCCAGACTGGGACCTCTCAGCTCTGCCTGACGTAGGATACAAGGTAGTTCTTTTCACTTAAGTACTGTATGCATGTAAGAGTTTATTTTTTCTTGGTTATTATGATATGTTATGGTGTTCCCAGCTTTCAAAAGAGTTGCTAGAAAACTGAACTATAAACTGGAACAAAATTGCCAGTTGATTCATCTGAGAAGGCTCAGGGAAGACTTGGTGGCAGCCTATAAGTATATAAGGGGTGGGCATCAGGAACTGGGAGAATGTCTGTTCACCAGGGCACCCCAAAGGAAGACGAGGTCTAATGGTCACGAACTGCTGGGAGACTGTTTTAGACTGGACATAAGAAAAAACTTCTTTATCATGCGAGTCTCCAAAGTCTGGAATAGACTCCCCTACCTCCCCCCAGCAGTGGTGCAAGCACCTACTCTGGACATGTTCAAGAAATGTTTGGATGCTTACCTTGCTGGGGTGATCTGACCCCAGCTGACTTCCTGCCCTTTGGGCAGGGGGCTGGACCCGATGATCTTGCAAGGTCTCTTCCAGCCCTAATGTCTATGAATTTGAAGTAGACACGTGTCCATTGGAAACTAGCTGATGGCTACTTCATTCCACACGAGTGCACTACTGAACAATTGTCAGATAGTAATGACTTGGGTTGCTATTGATCTGATTTGGATGCTAGTTGATTGAAGCTCAGGATTTCTCCAAGGTACTTTGTCCTTCTCCACCTGCCTTCCCTCCAGGCATTTTTTTTTCTGAAGAACTTATTTTTAATACAGAATTGTGCAGTATGGTGCGTTTTAAAGGAGTATCATGAATTCACTTGACATTATTATAGAAAGATCTGTATCTTAGTGACCTAAACCTCATGAGGTTTTTAAAAAAAACCCCAAAAAGCTTCCCCAATGGTTACAAGGTTGTATAAGTAATTTGCTACAATAAAGTTGGGCACATCTATATAGAGAAGCTAGTGTGGAGACACAGAATAGCTTTCTGCACAAGCACACTTATTCTGCACAAATAGCATAGAAGCTGTTTTGTGCAGCTTAGCTTTAGGTTATTCTCCAGTAATGGCCCTCTTGATTCAGAATAATGCTAACTTCTCTATATAGAAAAGCCTCCAGGGTTAATATTTTACAGCATGTGTAGAGGTGGGCAGAGGCAGAAGACTGCTAATAAATAAGTAGAGATAGACTGTGGGAAAATTTGACTTTTGATTGTAGCTTCAGGGTGGTCCACATCTCATGTGATGTAGCTGGAGGGATAGAGGGTGGGTAACTAAGAATGCTCTAACTCCTTGAATTCTTTGTATTGAATACTTTCAGCTGGTAGATGTCAGTAGTACTGCGAGTGAATACATGCGAATCAAGGACCTATTTGAGAAGACAATGCAATGTTATTATATCCACAAACTGCAGAGGATTCAGAACCCATCACTGTGGCAAGTTTTCCAGTGGTTTGTATCCACTTTTAATTCTTTTTCCTGGTGCTAGTAGAGCCATTTTGATAATTTTGGGGCTGCTTCTTCTCATGGATTCCCCCTGGTGCCAAGCAGGACAAATATTTCTCTCCTCTTACCCAAATGTAAGTTGTGGTGAATCAAGATTCCTTTTATTCTCTTCTCCATGAGCACGTAGTTCTGGGTTTGTTTGTGACTATTGATCGAGGGTTTTACTAAAGGTTTTCGCCAAATCTTTGCAAGTCATTCCTAACTTTAGTTTTATAAAACACATTCATGACACAGTTGATTAAGTATGGTTTCATGGCTTTTCAAGTTCTCCCATTTGAAAAGGATTAAGTTCCTATCTGCCTGTTTCTCTACAGCTAAATTTTGTGTTTGGATGGATTTGTGTTGGTCCACTGGAATTAGAAATTGGGACTTGAGTTACGCTATTTCCATTTTTTACTTCCTCCAACTAAATGAAGTGGGGTGAAGAAATAGTGGCCTTTCCAGTGGAATTTCTCGAAACCTTTTCATTCAGTATGGAGTAAAAACAAGGCTTCAACATCACAAGAAAATGGAGGGAGGCTGACCAATCTTCCGCTTCCTACCTTCATTAGAATAGCTGATAACTTGGTTGTTAAAGCACCTGCCTGGGATGAGGGAGAGCCAGATTCAAGTCCCTGCACTGCCTAATTAAGAGGGCCTTGACTTAGCCCTTCCATATCCCAAATGACTGGGATATTTATTGCTCTGGCATAGGGTATTTGACTTCAGGTATGGACAGATGTTCATTTGAAGGATTCCAAATCCTGCTATGATTTGAAATGTTTCAAATTTGCAGTGCTTTGGTACTGTGGAGATGTGCGTATAGGGGAAGCAGAGGACTGAGCAAACCCCTACTCCATTGGACATACAACTCCACTGGAAATTATGCATTGCATGAAGCACTTCAGATTTTTTTTTTTTTTCCAAGGGTTGTATCTGAAACAGTTTGGACATTTTTAAGTGCTTGATCAGGCATAAATATCTGCATCCATGCTATTTGTAGCATTTCAAAGGCACTTGGAGTTCTTTAAGCCAAGTACCTGTCCATACCCGTGGATAGAAATTCCATCTTGGAGTTTCTAGAAACATTTACCAGTGGTGGTTGTAACAGAATCAGTGTTCCTGCAAAAGGCTAGTTTAGCCAAATTGGTGCTGGTCATTGGGAGAAGTTCATTTTGTCAATACATGACCCAGTTCTACCAGTGAATTTCTCCTAACGTTGTTGAAGCTTGAAATTCCTTTGTGAAAAACAACCTAATATCCAGATGGAGCGAGATAAATTTACATAAAGGCTTGATTGATTGAAAGGCTGGTGGGATGAGTGGAATTGGGATATGTGCATTATTTTTTTTAAGCAACAGGGAAAAGGAACTGGAAAGATGATAAATCAAGACAACAGGAAATTTCTGCTGTATGTTTATATGTTGGGGGAGGGAAGGAATTCAGCTGCATCAATGGATACCTAAAGCAGCAGAGCTTCAGATGATCTTGACATGCTTATTAACTTGATCATTAAGTTTTTTAAAACAAGTATGATGGTTCTAATAGGAAAAATGGTCTAGGAACAGGTGTTGCATTTGTCCCAGGACACTGATGTCATGGGATTGATGTATACACACATCACCCTTCTAATTGGGATTTAGTGAGTGGCTGAATCCACTGCTGCTTTCCTGCCATTGATTCAATGATGCAATCCTAGGATAACTAGTCAGATACTTTGCAATGTACTTCTTATATTGTAAACTTTTTTTTTTTTTTTTTAACCCTGGGACAATGGATATGAATATTTGAATGACTGCACTTTGCCCCAGGATAACATGGTTTATCCTGGGACAAAGTCGACCCCTGTTTGTAGCCTTGAACAAAGGAATCCGAAAACTTGTAGGTCCTGGAGGCCATGTTGGGAGGAATTAGTGCCTGAAAGCACACCTCTGAAAGGGTGCACGTGGAAGTGTTTCAAAGTTGCACTTCAGCTGTTAGCCTGTTGGCATTATCCCTCCAGGAACTGAGCAAGCATGCACATGCTGGAGTGGGCTTAGCATGCTCACCATCTCAATTTTAAAAATAATTCTCTATCCTCTCCCCCTCAAAATAGCACACAGCATTTCAGGAAAACTGCTTGGTACTAGCATTCCCAGGTAAAGCTCCTTTGGGAAGGGTTTGGCTAAAATGTCAAAGTGTCTTTTTCCAGTTACTTGGAAGGCGCATCCTGGGATGGCTGATGGAGAGGCAGAGGCTCATAGTGTCTAAGCAAGTAAGGGCTAAGTAGACATTCTGAACTTGGTTTTCTTGGCTTTATAGAGAAGAATATTTTAGCAACTTGAAGGGGGAGATAAGGGAGAGAGCATGGAGGACATGATCTCTATAAAAGTCAGCTTGTTTTACTCGTACTTCTATGGACAGTGAAAGCATGAACCAAGGGCCAGGGAATTAAAAAGGGTCAGCAAAATGCTCTGGAAGGGTCTCTAAGGGGTAAAGGATGAGAAACTATTTGCTCAGCCCAGTCAGGTCCAGGGACTAAGGATAAACAAGGAGTCTGAATGGGTTATATTTTGCTTAAGGATTATTTTCTCCTGCCTGAAGCTTGACATAATTTGTAAGGGCTTTTCTTTGAGCGTGATGTATGTGTTGTGCTTTTGCATATTTGAGGGGCAGAAGTGAAGCTTGTGTGTGCTGTGAAATTGGATGGAATTATAGGAAGCAATGAAGGTTTCCATGTCTGGAAACCGTTATATCCGTTAGGGCTACATTGCCAGTCCTTATTCTGGATACTTCAACAACGAGCAACTTTGTAAACATTTTTTAATGTTGGTAGACTTTATCAAAGTCTGCTTCAACCAATTTTTACAAAGCTCTTTGAACCTAAGTATACAAATTGGTGAGATTACCTGAGCCGTAAAACTCTGATCTGGATTTGAATCTAAACTTTAAGCATGCTCTAAACTTGTGACATCTGGGATTCTTGGTTCTAGCTTTGTTTTGAGTCAAAGAAAAATGTTGAACTCACTGAATCCCAGCATTTCCTCCTCCCTTCGTAGCAGGGAGGGTGGGAGGTGGGATCTGAATGGCAAATGCAGCATAGTCTTCAGCTTAACACCAGTTTCTTCCAGGGTTTGGACTTAAAATTGTGTGTTAATAAACATACAGATGCTGTTGTTCTGCTGGCTAACATGAGGTGGTCGGCAACTGAAAGCTGCCTAAAGGAGACAAATCTTTTCTTCTTCAAAATACTTTCTATAAATAATAGAATATACACAGAGGGCTCTAAACCCTCCTTGGATCTGGACCTATAACTAACAATGATAGGGGTGGAGTTGTAATTGGTAGGTGAGGAATACAAAGATGATTGCCTTGGGTGGAAAAAAAAATTAGGCAAGCTATTTCAACTAGCTGGATGGAAAATTAGAACAACTACGGAGGATATTGCATTTCTACCTTTGAAATCAAATGTGAAAAAAGGCAAATCTAAACGCGTTCTGTAAAAACCTTGGAAAGGTTACTAAAACTTTCCTGATTCATTCGATTCACACTGTTTCATGCTGAAGTTGCTTTTCAGGACTTCATCAGAGCTGGAACCATTTTGCAGTATGCATGTGTATGGTACCCAATGTAAAGGAAGAACCTCTGTCTAGTTGGAGAGGGGAATGTGTGTGTGATGAGGCCAAATTCCTTTAATATATTTCATACCTGCTAAAATGACTTTTGTAAGGATAGAATTGAGCATCTCAATATGGCAGAAAACAATCAACTTCTGATAAACAGAGATCTGTACTTTTTTCTTATTCTGAGTGGTGTCTTCCTATCTTGATGGCTAGGATTTTATTTTTGCCTTAGTCTAGAAAGAGCAAGCTGAAGCTTGTCAGACTGAATGGCCGCCTAGAAGGTTAACATCCTTAGCAGGGCTGAGTCAGGCTGTACATGTATCTGTGAGATGCTCTATTAAGAAGGCAAGCACTATGTCATGAATAAACCAGGTCTGTATTCTGCAAACTGGGTTGCATGTCACAGTTCATCCTTGTGTGAGGTCAGAAAGATGGTTCTTTGAACGGGCTTGCCTAGTCTGGTTCCAGTACCTTTAGAGAGCTGGTTCAGTCAGGGTTGGATGGTGGTCCTTCTCTCACTGTTTTAAGCTAGAGATCTACCCAATACCCTGATATGGGGGTTGTACCATCACTCATGAGAACACTAATGTGAGTCTTGAGCAACAGTTGCATTGGCTTCAAGGTAATTCTCCTCTGGGCATATTGTTACACATTCATAGTGTAAGGGATCCATGGGTTGCAGGAACAAAACTTGCCATCAGTTCTGTATGCTCTCGTCTCCTGTCATCTCTGGAGAGTGATCTTTATTCCTTATTTTCTTTCTTCGTATTTAATATGGTGAAGAAGTAGGCAGACTGGTGTCTTGGTGTTAGCCCTGGTTGATCAGGAACCCCCTGGAAGTGGTGGGCTGAGTAATGCTAAGATTAAACCCAATATCTTTGACCAATTTCCAACTTTGATGTTTAAGTTTCATTTGCAACATTGACTAGCTCCTTTCTCCACTCATAAATGGATGGGGGGGAGGGTGTATTCAGCTGCTGATTTCAATCTTTTTATCCCTAGGCAAAAGGAGCAGATGAAGAAGATCAACAGACAGGAGGATGTAGATGAGAGGCTCTTGTTCCATGGAACAAATACTTCCCATTTGCATGCAATTTGTGAGCAGAACTTTGACTGGAGAATCTGTGGGGCTCATGGAACAGCCTATGGAAAAGGTAGATGTTCATAAACAGCTTATGTATTGTGAACTTCAAACACTCACCAGAATGTTGTGGCATGCTCTAGTACCAAACAAGTCCATTTCCTATGGACTGGGCTTGCTTCTGTTGCCTTGCATCTGTTATAGCTGTTCACATTAGTTCAGGATGTGCAATGCTAACAAACAGGTAGCAGTTTATACCCATTTTGCAAACATTAAAAGACCATATGAAATGAAGGGCAATTGAAACAAACTGCTTTTTCTAACTTAAAGGACTTAGTCTTCCTCCTTGAACTTAATCATTTCAGCCTTGCTCAGCAGAGGATCTTTAAAGCAATTGCGCTTAATGTTGTGCACACAAAAGTCTTCCTTTTTTTAGCAAGGTTGTTTATCTGCTTTTCAGTTTGGCACATCCAACCCTACCTCTTTTGCACTGGTGTTTTTACTCTCAGATGCAAGTTCAGTGAATGGTGAATCACCGCGGTCCATGTAACTTGGCTAAAAGTATCAGGAGTTCCAGTGATGACTTAATTTAAACACTGTTGCTATTGGCCTTTGTGGTTTTTTTCTGTGTTTCTCCTTAAACTCTAATGCTGTCATCATGGTCTATGATGACATAAGATCCCATTTTTGGAGTATTAACTCCAGCATTTATAGTTGACCGTATTTTCTTACCTGTGGTAATATAGAAAGAGATCCCTTTCATAGGAGCCTTTTTTTTTTAAATCCACACAAAGAAATTTTGAGGTATCCGGGTGTTCTCTTTCAGTGCTGTTCATATGGGCCTCTTGTGTCTCTCATTGGAGTCTATAGAAGTTTGGACACTTGCTAGGCTCTACACAGAACTGGGTTTGGCCAAAAAACTTTCTAAATGCAGCTACTTTTTGGAGTACTTTTGCCAAAGTGAAAATTTTCAATAGGGGCAGGGGAAAGAACAACATCAAAATCAGCCAAGGTCTGGTCTAACGTAAATAAGTTGGGGTTTTTTTTCCCTACTTTTACCAAATTTACACAAGTTCAATGCCAGTGGGGATGCAATTATCCTGTAGTTTATTCCCCTTCCTGTATAGAAGTAAACATTTCTAGTATTATTGAGGCCACATTCAGGGTTGTACTGCTTTTGACTCTTAAGCTAGGTACAGGTGTTCAAAAAGTTTGAAGCAGAATTGATCTAAGTTGCACGGTTTTTTATAAGTGGCATACTTTAGATCGGTAGTGAACAGAATACACATTCTCCTGGGAGGGTGGAAATCTTAGACTGGGTTCTGCCATTTTTAAACCAGTCTGTATGTGCCGAACTTCTGTTCTGTTATGCGTATACACTGGCTTCCAATCACTTACACCAGTAAAATTGTAATGTCTGTACCTGGACTTAGTGCTTCAATTAAGAGCAGGATGTGGCCCATGTGTTTTTAGAGTAGAATGCATGTTATTAAGCCAAACAATTGTTGCATTACTTAAGCTATGTCTGTAGTGTCATAGAGGTGTGCCTGGACAAGACTGCCAACCCAAGAAAACATGTTTTACTGATGTATGTTTTACATAATGTAAATGTAACCCTTCTGTTAGGCTCTGAACACCATTAACAAGGGCTGGTTTAAAATTTAAGGGCCTTTTTAGATGCGTGTGCAAGACAGCGCTGGGCACTTTTGAAAGCAACCGGCTCTGCCTTGTATGCATTTGTATAAAGAGCAAAATGTGCATCAGTGATGAGAAAATGGCAGCGGCGCACTTTTGAACTAAAACCCATCAAAGGTGTTTTTGTTCAAAAGCATGCTGCTGCCATTTTTTCAGCGCTGATGTGCATTTCACCATTTATACAAATGCATGCGACACAGCACCGTGTGTGTCAGGTCATGTGCAGAAGAGCAGACTTGATTTAACTGAGCCTTCTTGAACGTGCCAGAGATCTGGTGTGTCACAGCACAAAAGCGTGTGTGTTTAAATGCCCATTGGGTTTAACATTAATGTTTTAACAGTTTTTTACTTGACTGCAAAAATGGTTTTGGAACATGCTGACCCCATCTTGGGAGTCTCTTATTTGCCCCCACACCCTGACATCTCCAACCATGCCCTGCAGCATGCTGCCCCCACCCCAGCCCACTCCTCAACCTTACCCCCACTGGCTGTGCAACTCTGCCCTAACCTCACTGTCCCACTCCCCGTCCTGCTCAGTGCCTCAGACTGCGCAGTGCTGCCTACCTTCAAGGCAAGTAGGCAACAGGATGCAGCAGCAGCACATGGGTGGGGGCTAGGGGTCTATGGAAGCTCCTGTGGACCATAAAGCCCTGAGGTACAGCAGCCCACTGGCATTGCCTGCCTAGGGCTCCCCTCTCCTGCATCCCCCCATGAGGTTGCAGCAGCATCAGCTTACTGCAGACTTCTTGCCCGTGTTCCCCTGCACTGCACCACCTCAGTGTTCCTTAATGCCCCCTCCCCTACCCCCCAGCAGGGGGGGGGTGTGTGGGGGGGGGTGCACTCCACAGTTTGAAAACCTCTGGTCTACATGATTGCAGTCATGTACTGTTTGATTTGTAGTGTAGACACATTGTCTATATAAAAAGCTTTGGGTGAGAAGGGGGTTTAGTTTTAGCTAAATACTATTAGATCTTGGTCATATTGGAGAAGAGGTGTATAGTGCATTAAAAGGCACTTGTTAAAATGTTTCAAATAAAAATATCAATGGTTAATACTTGGATTTTTTTTTTGTAGAAGAATCTAAAGACTGCATTCTTATCCATGCCTGTTTTCTGATTCCTAGGAAGCTACTTTGCCAAAGATGCTCATTATTCCCATGGATATTGCGACCCAAACAGTAGCCACAAGACCATGTTTGTAGCTCAAGTGCTAGTGGGAGACTTTGTTCAAGGAAGTACAGAGTACCTGCGGCCTCCTTCCAAGCCAAACAAACCAAACCACTTTTATAACAGCTGTGTTGACAATTCAGAGTGTCCCTCGGTTTTTGTCATTTTTGAGAAGCATCAGATTTATCCAGCCTATATAATAGAATATGTTGAAAGGAGCAGTTGTGTGATCTTGTAAGGGACAGCAGTGGTTTATCTAAATGGCAACACTGACATGATTTTACACGTTTCACATTTTTAAGAATATAGACTATATTTTAGTAGATTGTTGTGACAGACTCTTTTTTTGGATGTTTAAAAAAAAACTTGATTTGCAACCAAATGGAAGCAGCCAACCTCAAAAGAGTGAAGTCTTGGTATGTGGCTAATTACACATGACTAATACAGCACCGGCTCTCAGCTATGTTGGTGGGTTAGAGAGAGATGTAGGTGACGAATGCAGGGGAGAGCACGTGCCCCACTGTCGTGCAACTGAGTATCACAAACTGGAAAAGACTCCTAACATGCAGCAGAGATGATGCTAGTCTTTCCTGCCTCCAGAAAAAGACTAGCACCTACACTTGTTATACATCGAGCCACAGCCATTGGTGCATATGTAGGTCTGCTCAAAGGAGAAACAAAACATGCATTAACTTCTTACTTCATTGAAGTTCTATATTGGGAAGTTTTTACCATGTGTTTTTTCTTCTCACCCTTGCTGTTCTAGTTAGGTCAGGATTCCTCCCATAAGAAGAAACATGCACCATCCATAGGCCAATTTCCAGGACATCTGAGTCCTAAAAACAGATTAGAATAACAGACGACAGCACTATTCTGTCCCAGAAGACTGGAAGATTTGTTGGTGTTTCCTTGAACTGAGGCAAGTGGTGGCATCTGCGACTGTGTCAGGAGCAGATGTCAGATTTGTGACATTGTTCACATCCCAGGGATGGCCAGAAGCTGAACCACTGTTTCCTTGAAATCTTTACTCCAATTCATTTCTACCATTGACAGAGACTGTCCTTTTTAAGAACACTATCCACTCTTTTGAATGGAAAAGCCAAGTTGTTCTATAACAACTAACAATGTAGCTGGCACAATTACTTTTTCTATTGATCGAGGAGAATCCTTAGAAAGGATTCGAGCCTGAGACCAAAAGGATTCATGACTTCATGGCCTGTTTCAATATTCAGTGCTCAAAAGCTTAATTTGGAATAGCACCAAAGATTGGATTCGGTAACATAATTCCAATTATATCCTTTATACTATAATTTTTTGTTCTTGGTTTGAGAAGACCAAAGAACTGTAGTTTGGTTTAGTCTGTTTTTTAAAATTTTTTCCTTTTTATTTTATTTTTTTTTCTTCTTCTAATCCTTGCCCTACCCCTTTTTTATCTTCTCCTCTTTTTTTATCTTTTAACTTTCATAACAGAATAACAGACAACTGCTTTTTGGTTTGACATGGAGGCCAGGATGGTTCCCTCCCTCATCCTTCCAATCATTTCATTTTAGGTTAGAAGGACCACAAATATTTAAGTTGGAAACCCAATGACTCCTAATCATAATTGCATGCAATAAAACACCACTAAGATGGTAAAGCCAAGTCCTTGAAAACCAGGAGAAGTCAAAATTACTGGTTACATAGACAACTTGGCCAAATTTTGGGCAGTTCCATAGTCCATCCCTGCTGTTGAACTGAAAATGTATGCAAAGTAGTAAGCAATTTGCATGCATATTTTAAACAGCTGCATGAAATTTGGCAGCTATGAACAGGGAGAATATTTACTCTGTATATAAGAGGCAATAGACAAATTAGGGAAATTTTCTTTTTTTTAATTTATAAAATCTACTGCTAAACTTGCTTATTGCAGAGGGCTTTTTAAAATAAACAAATATCAAGTTATAAAACCAAATGTGACCCTCACGAACTAGTCAGTTTACTCTTTAAAACTACTATAATGGGAGATGACTGCATGTATGGTTTGTCCAGTCTTCATCCTCTTCCCTCCCAGAACAGATTTACAATTCCCAGCAAGTACAGTTGTTGTGTTGAGTGGAACTACTCATGAGCAGGGATCCTGGTTTTCTCTGACTTAAAGAATACCCAATTTTTTATTTTATTTGTTTATTTTTTTTAACTGAAAAGTAACCCCAACCCCACACTTTTCTTTGATGTAAATGAAACAACACTGATCTATACCAGGATCCCTGCTCATGAGTAATTACTTGCATAAGGGTCCAATCCTGGAAATCTTTGGTTTCTGATCTGGCAAACATGCATGCTCTTGCTTAACTGTACAACTAGGAGCAGCCCTAGTAAAATCAATGGGTGCACCCCCACATGCAAGCACATGCGCTCGCAGCAGCTCAAATAGAAGTGGTGCAAATTTGAGCTGGGGCTTTCTGCCTCAGCGCACAGGCCCGGATGTGCACTTTGTTGTGGAGCAAATTGTGGCACTTGGGGCAAAATAACCCAGCCTGGCTTCTCCTGGATCTGCACCTAGGGGGAGCTAGAGCCTGTGGTGGCCCCAGCAGTATAAAAACATTCCCTGGCCAGCAGCTTGGGACTACTTGTCCTCAGGAGTTTCTGAGGCCCAGTCACTCGGTGTCTGTGGACACTAGCCCCTTGTGTCAGCTAGACTGCTGAAGCACCATCCCAAATTCACTTTTTAAAATACCCCCAAATCTACAGTCTTCCACAATTAGAACAAAAGGGTGGGGGGGATTGATCAGTTGGGCAATGTTTTATTGCTATATCTACAATGTTAAAGCAATTTGGAAGCCTACCAGTGTCTCAAGCGTCATAATAAAAGAAATCCTAAATATCTATATGTTTTAATGTTTGCTTTTGGTTTCCTTATCACGTGGTGGGTGCGTGATTGGGGGGGATGTGGGTGGGTGTGGAGGGAGGTGGGGGTTTGCGGGTCAGTGTGTGGGTAGTTGTGGGGGGACTGTGGGTGTAGGGGCTACTTAAGAGGGGTGGGTCCCCTGCCCCCCACAGGGCAGAACCCCCGCCCCAGCACATAGACTACCCTGCCTCCAGGGTCCCAGCTCCCCTGCATGGCTACAACTCCACCCCCCCACCCCCAGTTTCCCCTGTTGGTCTCCAGCCCCCTGCTCATTCCCTGCTTGTCTCCAGCCTTGGGAGGCTGGAGATGAGCAGGAGAATGACCGGAAGGCTGGAGACGGCAGGGGAAGTCTCCAGCTCATCTTCACAGGCTCGTCTCCAGCCTCCTGCTCATTCCCCTGATCATCTCCAGCCTTAGAGGCTGCTACTAGTGCCGGTGAGTGTGGGGAGGAGGCAGAGGGCATGAACGGGGGGCTCGGGAATGAACAAGGAGTTGGGGCCAGGTGGGGCTTCCCCCACGGTCCCCTCCCCCCCCTCCTCCAGCCCCCCAACCCCCTACTTACCTGGCACGAAGCTGGGTCCAGGTCCTTGCAGCTTGTGCTACTGCCTGCCCCACATGGGCAGGCAGCATGCTTCAGCACCAGGGAAAGGGCCAGCCATAGAAACGCTCTTGCTGGCTACCAGCATCTCTGTGGAGGACCAAGCCTCCGGTTGCTTTAGGGTATGGTTCGGGACTGTGCCCTGCCCTGCTTTTTTTTCCCACCAGGGTATTGTTTGACCCCTGGAGCACGGGGAACATTTGTTTCCATACGTGTCTCTTGCAACATCTCAAAGGGGTTTGAGACGCTGCAAGAGGCACGTGTGTGCTCGTTTGGATGCGCCCAGTAGGGCTACTTGTGGCACAACAGAACCTGGACCGTTCCAGATAAGTTTGCAGTCTGCATAGTTTGTGAACCACCTTAAGGACAAGCTACTTAAATGGTTCCTGTGGATTTTAATTCAAGGGACACTGATTCTCCAATCAGCTGGACTTCATTAGCAGTCCTACATAACTGCCTGGAGAAGAGGTACTTGCTGAAATAAAAGCCATAGCAAACAGCTGGAGCACCTCAGCAGCCCTGTGCTGCTGCTTCTGGCTATGCATACCCCAGATACTTAGCAAGCTCTTATCTTTGCAGGGGGGTAAGGAACCAAACTCTGAGAAGTAGCTGGGTTCTAATGTAGCAGCTTTAAACATATGCTTAAGAGTCTGTAATACTGTGGACATGGAGGCTATACATTGTGTGTAAAACATACTTCAGTTAAAAGAAAGTTTGAATATCTTCACTAAACTGTTTATGTGAATTTCTCTCTGGCACATGTCATCAAGCACAGCAAACACTTCGGTCTGAGCCATGGCCAAGAACACAGTCTTCTTTCTTCTTGCTCTAAGTGTTCACATGTTCAGAAACTTCCTCTCCAAATATAATCTAACTTTGCCATCCAAATAATTTATAAGGAAGTTTTCTCTCTGTATGTGGTAGTGGTTTGGTTTTGTTTGTTTGTCCATTTTCTCCCTCCAGAAAAAATGGCCATATTGTATTTCTTAAATGGCATTTATTTGGATAGTTAGTTTGGAAGTATCAGAAAAATCTTTTAATCAAAAGGATAATGGAAGTGAGTTTAATGGGGCCATGCAGGCAAAAGTAAGAATGCCATTTTGTCTAGAACCTCCACATCCATCAATGCTTTCCAGCAGGCTTTCATATGGCCACTGCATCATTAGAAGTGACTCTTGCTGGATGAGATCAGCTTTTGAAGGGAGAATGTTACTTTAAGCATTATTGAACCTTTTATAAATTAGCCTTTTAATTAAATTTGATTCCTCTCTATGATCAAGGGAAATTGTTCCTGCTAAATGAGAAATATTGCTGAAACTTTGGAACCAGCGGCCTCTATCTGCAGCTCAAGGGGAGATAATGGAAAAAGCAGTTTGACCAAAACCTAAAAAAACTTAATGACACTGAAATTCAAATGGACACAACAAATATTGAAAATGGCTTTAGCTGATCTGAAGATATTGTAGGTGATGAATCTGAGAAGCTGGGAGCATGACCCAAGATGGCCATAGGTAAAATTGGTTCCAGCTTCAGCAAAAGCACTGTGTGAATTCAAATTTGCAATGTACCTAGACAATGGAAAATGTATGTGGTACATGCAACGCCTTCATAAGGTGAGTGGCTTTTCTGGGAAACATACTATATTTACTTGCATACCACATGCACCTTCCCCCACAAAAAATTATCCTTCCAAAATTGGTGTCCATCTCTTGCATGCTGAAGCTGATATTCTGCATAGAATGGGAGAATGGAGATGCTATTAGATGACTGCTTCTTTTCCTTCTCTTCTCTCCAGTAGCTGCATGGAGGGGAGGGGTGGGGGGGGATTGTACAACAGTGTTGTGACAAGGCCTTTTGTTTCCTGCTCTACCCAAAGTTTAAAACAGCAGTAGCATGTATATTTGAGCAGCACTTAGGGAGTCAATTGACTTCGTAGCTCATTATACCAGATTCTCTCTAATTGCTCTTCTCTCAACAAGTATTAACTGTCCTCTCTCCTTTTTAAAGTTCTTGATGTTCCACTAATCAAGCTAGCCTTTCTTGGGTAATTTTACTGTCCATTAGCTGATCCTGGTCTCGCTTTTCCTATTTCACAGCTCTGAAGACTGTTTTTAGCTCTTTTCAAAATCCTAGATCTACTCACAGATTTTTGCAACAGCTATTGTTTAAGCTTCTGGCTAAGCAGGCAAGATCTGGTGACAATTCAGCTGTGAAAGGGTTAAAACCATAGTGTGGTGTGTGTGTGTGTTTTTGTGGTTTTTTTGTTTTGTTTTTTTGTCTGAGTAGAAAAGGCAAGGTGAGTGAACTGAAGATTGTTCTGTTGCTGCTCTTTGGGGGTATAATTCTGGAACTCTTCTCCCCTTCCTTCTGCCTTTCCAAAAAGTTGTGTGTCTTATTTGGGGTTGTATGGTATATGAGAAAATACGGTAATTGCTTCTGGCTCTTTAAAGCTGGGATAAAATATGGACATTCTCAAGAAATGCCAAAATGTAGTACCTGGAGGGGTAAAAAGAGCTGGAAAACCCTGGAATATCAGAAGGTTAGACTGAAACAGGAAAATTAATACTCAGCCACAGGAATACTACTTGGATATCAGTGATGTAGACAAGCATCAGTAAAAATTGGTAATGAGAAGCTAGAAAAAGTAACACACTTTAAATAGCTTGGAGAAACCATTACAGAACATGCTGCATCAGAAAAAGAAGTAAAAACAAGAATTGAAGAACCAGCAAAGCTGAAAAAAATCTAGACTAGCAGCAGCATCACAGTGAAAACAAAACTCCACCTACTATATGCTGTTGTCATTTCAACAATTCTCTGCGGCTGTGAGACCTCAATACTCACGAGGGCACTGGAAAAGCAAATTGAGACCTTTGAAATACGGTGTTTCGGAAGACTTCTATGCATACCCTACACTGCACATGGAACAAATGAATCTATGAAAGATCAAATTGGACAAGAAGTACGAATCCTTGCTTGAAATCATAAGAAGAAGAAAAATGTAGTGGTTTGGGCACATAATAAAAGGCCTGATGCCCTTGCCTGCACCATCCTGTAGGGTGCAGTAGACAGACGAAGAAGAGGAAGAAGACCCAGGACAAGCTGGTCTGTAAACATCAAAGTCTGGACAGGATTAAAACTAACTGATTGTACAAGGATTGCAAAAGACCAGGAATAATGGAGAAAAGTTATTACTACATCAAAGGTACCCCAACAGTCAGTGTAGCATTGGGACTGACTGATTGCTGTGGACAAAATGGCCTGTCTTTTTAAAAAAAATTTCCTGGCACTTCCTTTCTCTCTACAAGTCTTTTGACAGTGCTAATGTTGGCTTAGTTTTTGCAGTGGCCACACACAATATGGTTGTTCTCCGAAATGAATAATAAACAATCATGGAAATACTTATAAAAAGGTTGGGCGATAATCCTGGGTTTGTGAGCTTATTGGTCCTCCACTTTGCCAAACAGCTATGTCTACATTCCTAATTTGTCCAGAAATCACAATTTACCACAAGCATTTCGCCGAATAACAAAAGCAAACAAACAAACAACCCCCCCGCCCCCACACACACACAACCCCTCAAAACCTGAAATAAAACAAAACCCCAAATGATTTATTACGGGAAAAGAAAAAGTGAAAAATGCTTTGATATCAGAATATGGTAAAAAGAAAACTGACAAAAATCCTTACCCTACTCTTAGGCTACCCTCTCTCCCTCATACTATTTCTATGATAATCCCTTGGGGCCAACCTCCCCTTTCTCCCTGTTAGCTCCCTCCCCAGGAGACGTTTTCCATATCAAATTCTGGAAGCATTAAAGTCCACCTTCACAGCCTAGCATTGGTTCCCTTTGTTTTATGGAGCCAGGCCAGTGGGGAACAGTCCATCAGGACCCTAAACCATTGGTCAAAAAGGTAGTTTTTCACTTGTTTTATAACCCACAAGATGGCATAGCACTCTTTCTATTGCTTTCTTTGTTCACATGAGTTTAGTTTCTTGCTCAGGAAGGCGACGGGGTGTTTCTTACCTCCTTCCCTTGTTTGCAACCGTACAGTCCCTAACCCTATCTCTGAGGCACCTGTAGTGTTACCAAAAGTGCAGTCCTATTCAGTCTTTTGAGAGATAAGACTACAGTCCATCTATGATCAGGACTTAGTTGCAAGCTTAGACACAGAATTCAGAGACAGTTACAATTCCTTTAATGATTTCTCTCCTGCCCCCCTTTTTTTACACCCCAAATCAAAATACAATCACATTTCCCAACAATCCTCTATTCTGTCTTAGCA